AGCCACAACCAGAGAAGAGAGCCCTGATGCTGGCACCCTGGTCTTGGGCTCCAGCCTCCAGAACTGTGAGGAAGTAAATTTCTATCAATGTTGTTTAAGCCACCCAGTCTGTGGCATTTTGTTATGGCAGCCGGAGCTGACTAAGACAATCCCTGAAATGCCTTCGAGCTCTAACTTCACTGTGTCCGAGGTCTTCTTCTTCTCAGTCACATGTTTTCATTGGAGCAGTCATGTTCTAAATCAGGCATCCTCAAACTACGGCCTGCGGGCCACATGAGGCCCACCGAGCACACTTATCTGGCCTGCCAGGTGTTTTTGCTGCCACTGCCTGTCCTGCTTAGCAGCTGACTTGTCCTGGGCCCACAGTACGCATGTGTGGAATGTGCGCTGCACTCTCCAACGGCCCTCCAACGGTCTGAGGGACAGTGAACTGGCCCCGTTTAAAAAGTTTGAGGACCCCTGTTCTAAATAATCGGGATCTTTCTCTGTTGTCCTGGTGGATGGGACAGAGAGGCCCCAGCAGACTCACCAGCCCTGAAACCCTGACAGGGACCGAGGAGCCCGGATGTACCAGCCCAAGCTCAGGCTGCCCGTGTGCTTTTCAAGGCCATGCTGAGCCCACCTTGCCTGGCCGCTGGCCTCGTTGCCAAGCTTCCCTTCTGCACGCCGTTGCTGGAACCCACCAGGATCCTCCGCATTCCCGTTGGCCTCCCTGGAGCAGCTTTTCCTGAACAACCCCAGACAGGACCTCTGTTCCCTTCCCTTCCCTGTTAAAGAAAATCCAGAGCAGGACAGTGGTTTCAGGGTACAAACAGATTTTATTCAGGAACTGTTGGAGCAGAGGAAGAGACCTCAGTGCAGAACCGAGCTCAGTTCTGAACACAGCACGGGCATTGGGGATTTACAGCCAAGGAGCAGAATGGAGGGCCGACAGGTGGAAAGTTGCTAAGAGGAGACCTAAGGGTTTGGGGTTTCGGGCTAAACCCAAGTGATGGGGTCTTGCTGAAGGCAGGCTGGGGTGATCAGATCCAAGGGTGGGGGATGAGGAATTTGGCCAGATGTGGGGCAGGGGAGACCCTGGCTAAACCTACTTTGCAGGATCCTTGCTGAAATTGGGCAATGCAGAGACAGACACAGAAGTCCAAGGTCGAGGCCTGGGTGGGAGGAGGATTTGGAGGGCCCAACTGGTGTCTGTGTCAGTCCTCACACTCCTTGCAGTGTTGCATGTGGTGATTCCTCTGCCCATCCTGTGAGCCACGAGACCCTAAAGATTTGTCTTCATCATTGAACCCCCGGCACCTGGACCCCTGCCTGCCATGGAGGAGGCAGTTAGAGGAGGTTAGAGGAGGCCGTCTCTGGAGGCAGTGGGAGGCCTGGGTAAAGGCGCAGGGCCTTCTCGCTCAGTGGCTGCTCTGGGCTGTGCTGAGAGTCCTTCCACCAGGGCGTGTTCTTGTCTTCCCCCGGTTACAGTAACTCCACGGTTATACCTGCCGGGTAGTTTTGTAGCAGAGTGTGTCTCTGTGAGACAATTCCTGGTAAACAGCTTCCCCCAGAAATCTAGAGAGCAGATCTCTGGCACGTTCCAGAGGATGGATTTCAAGCATGTTCCCCTGAGTTGGAGCTGTAGTGACTTCTCTCCCACTCAGTGGGCATGGCTGTGGCCCTGCAGCAGGTCTGGATCTTGGCCCTGGGTTTGGTGGCATCTCCTAGGTTGCTGAATCTCAGCCCTGGGAGCAGAGGTTGCTCCTTATGTATGCTTATTTCTATATTCTTTAGAGTTCTCTTATTAATGTTAATTTCTCATTACTCAAATCCCTTATTATAGTAAATGATTTGTTGAATTAAACTTTCTCTTGGCATATTACTGTGTGTTTTTTCTCTTGTTTGGATCCAGACTAATACAACAGTTTTTGGCAATTATTAGCTAAATGCTGCTGTGTACATTGTTGACCATGTCTCTTGGTGGACATCAGAAATCATTTCTGTTAAGTTACGTGTGCAGAGTGGTTTGCTGGGTTGTGCATGTGTTTAACTGTAGTAGACACTGGCAAAGTAGACACAGCTTTCTCAGTGTTTGTTTTAATTCACACGCCTGCTTGGCAAGGTAAGAGAGATCTGATTGCTTCGCATTCTTGGCAGCACTTGGTACTGCCACTCGTTTCATCTTAGTCATTCTAATGGGTGGCAGTGACATTTCATTGTGGTTCTATTTGCAGTTCCCTAATGATTAATGATGTTGCCTTTTCTTGGGTTGTAGGCCATTCGAGTATCTTCTTTCTGTGCAATATCTGTTCACAGTTCATTTTTTGAAATTGTGGAGGGCTTTTTGCTCCTTTCCTTACTGATTCATAGGAGATTTTGATATATTCTGGGTGATACTCCGTTGTCAGAGATGTATGTGTCTGCAGCTTGCCTTCGCACCCTCTTGACGGTATCTTTTAAAGGTCCATTTATCAACATCGTTTTTAGTATGTGTTCTATGTCCTGATTTAAAAATAATTACCCAGTCCAAGATCAGAAAGCTTTTCTTCCACAAGTTTTGTTGTACTTTCATCTTTAGGTACGCAATCCAGCTGGTTATGGTTTTGTGTATGGTGTGAGGTAGTGGTCAGGTGCTTCTTACCTGTGCGGATGGATGTCAGATTGACCCAGCACTCTTTATTGAAGGATCCCTTTTTACCCACTAAATTATTGTGGTGCAACTGCCATTTATCAGGGACAATATATGCGTGGGTCTTTTTTCGGACTCTCTGTTCTGCATCATTCATCTCTTTTCTATCCTTGTGCCAATTTCCTTTAATAGTTAAAATACCTCTCAGCTTATTCCTCCAGTAAAGGAAGCTGTTGAGCTTTGTTATAAGATTACATAGACATCCTGAGCTTTCACACATGAGATCTATTTGCTCAGCCCCCCAGCAAGCTTAGAGGGGTCCCCTGGGTACCCAGGTGGCATTGTGTGGCCAGTCTGCCTCAAGCACCTCCCTCCATATGACTTTTTTCTGGGTTGTATCTTGGAGGATCTTACTCCTGCTGTCTTCCTCAGGGAGCTTCCTACTCTTGATGGCCTGGCATCTCTTCTGCAGGCTTCCAGAAGGATCCCTTTGCCACCTCCACAACATGAGCTCCCTGAAACATGACTGCCAGGCTGCATAGAAGATGCAGGGCCCTTGCAAATACCAGTCAGCGTTGTCCAGAGAACGGAACCAATAGGGTGTGCGTACACACACACACACACACACACACACACACACACACACACCGGTATACCTCATTTTATTGTGCTTCTCTTTATTGCACTTCACAAATATTGTGGTTTTTTTTTTACGAATTGAAGGTTTGTGGCCACCCTGCTTACAGCAAGTCTGTTGGCACATCTTTTCAACTGCATGTACTCATTTTGTGACTCTGTGTCATATTCTGGTAATTCTTGCAATATTTTAAACTTTTTCACTATTAGATATGTTATGGTGATCTGTGATCTTTGATATTACTATTGTAATTGTCTTGTGGTGACACAAACCCTGCCCATATAAGATGGTGAACTTAATCAATGAATGTTGTGTGTTCTGACTGCCCCACTGGGCAGACGTCCCACAGTTCTTTACCTGTCCTCAGGCCTCCCTATTTCCTGAGACACAAGACTACTGAAATTAGGCCAGTTAATGACCCTGCCTGGGCCTCTAAGTGTGCAAATGCAAGGAAAAGTCGCACATCTCCCACTTTAAATCAAAACCTGAAAATGATTAAGCTTAGTGAGGAAGGCATGTGGAAAGCCTAGATAGGCCAAAAGCGAGACTCCTGAACAAATGGCCAACTTGTGAATGCAAACAAAAGGTTTTTGAAGGAAATTGGAAGTCCTACTCCAGTGAACACATGAAGGATAAGGAAGCAGAACCTCAGAAATGGGGCAGATATGGAGAAGGTTTTAGTGGTCTGGGTAGAAGATCAAACCAGCCACAACATTCCCTTAAGCTAAAGCCTAATCCAGAGCAAGGCCCTGACTCTCTTCATTCTATGAAGGCTGGGAGGGGTGAGGAAGTTTCAGAAGAAAAGCTGGCAGTTAGCAAAGGTTGGATCATGAGGTTTAAGGAAAGAAGCCGTCTCCATAACAAAAATGCAAGGTGAAGCAGGAGTGCTGACGTAGAAGCCGCAGCAAGGAAGTTATCCAGAGGATCTAGCTAAGATCATTGATGAAGGTGGCTACACTAAACTATAGAATTTTAATGTAGACTTTAAATTGAAAGAAGATGCTGTTTAGAACTTTCATTACTAGAGAGAAGTCAACGTCTGGCTTCAAAGCTTCAAAGGACAGACTGACTCTCTCGTTAGGGGCTGAAGCTGCTAGTGATGTTAAGGTGAAGCTAATGCCCCTTTACCGTTCTGAAAATCGTAGAATGCTTGGGAATGATGCTAAATCTGCTCTGCCTGTGCTCTGCAAATGCAACAACAAAGCCTGGGTGATGGCACGTCTGTTTACAGTGTAGTTTACTGAATATTTTAATCCCACAATTGAGACCTACTGCTCAGGAAAAGATATTGGTTTCAAAAAATTACTGCTCATTGACAATGTACCTGGTTACCCAAGAGCTCTAATGCAGATGTACAAGATGACTGTTGTTTTCATGCCTGCTAACATAACATTCATTCTGCAACCCATTCACTACAGAGTGATTTTGAATTTCAAGTTTTATTATTTAAGAAATACATCTTGTAAGGCTACAGGTGCCAGAGACAGTGATTCCTCTGATGGATCTGGGCAAAATAAATAGAAAACCTTCTGGACCTTTCCAGACCTTCACTATCTAGATGTCATGAAGAGCATTTATGATTCATGGGAGGAGGTGAAAATATCAACATTAACAGGAGCTTGGAAGAAGTTACTTCTAACCCCCATGAATGATTTTGAGGTGGCACAGTAGCACTGCATACAGTAGCTTGTGAAGGACAGCCGGTACAGCACGAGTGATTTGAATGACATTATTTTTTTGTTTTTTTCCTAGTGATTCCTGAGAGACAGAATCATCATTTTTGGTTATCAAACAAAGCCCAGAATGTGAATAGTGTGGAACATTTTATGCTGACAGCTCTGTGCAACAAACTTCCTCCTGGCACTTACCCTGCAGCTTAGCTTTCCAGCCAGAGGTTCCTCTTATCCAGCAAAAAGTGAGTTATTTGCTTTCTCAATGTTACAGCGTTAACACGGAGGATCCTGAACTCCCTGAGAAATAGCAGAGATGAGTGGGCAAGAGAGGAAAGAATCTGATAGGAGATTTTAAAAAGTGACCTAACTGTTAACAGAGTTAACAGTTGTGCACATCAGAATCTTAGACTTGCTTCTTTTAGGGAGCAATAGAACGCCGCTCAGTTAAACCAGAGGAGGATGTCAACAGTCCACAGTTAGTGCTGGACACGTGGTTTCTGGTCTTGTGCGTTGTCTAGCTGCACTTCGTCATAGGGTCGCAGAAGAGCAGAGTCAGAGGACCTGGTGGGAGACGTGGTCCCATATCCTTAGAGACAAGGACTCTGAGACTCCCCTGGGTCACGGGCTAGTGGCTGCAGAGCCAGGACAGATGCCCCAAATCTTGGTGTTCTCTATGTGCTACCATGGAGTGAAAAACGCTGGCAGATCTCTGTGCTTAACTCCTTAACCACAGCACCCACTGTGTGTTCTGTGGGATTCTAGAGTTCCTGAAACGTGGGTCTCTTCCCCCCATCTCAGCCTCCCAGCCTAAAGCTAAACAGACCCTCATGCTTTGGAGGTCTAATGCTTTGATTCTGTCCCTTTCAGATGGCTAACCCGAAGATGAGAATGATGTGTATTTGCCTCCTGCTCGTGGGGGGCCTTTGTTTGTACGTCAGCATGTCCGGCCTGAGTCCCTTTAAAGAGCAGCTATTTGGTTTCAAGAAAGAGTACAGGAGCTTCCTCCAGCTCCCAGACATGGACTGCAGGCAGAACCCCCCCTTCCTGGTCCTGCTGGTGACTTCGTCTCACAAGCAGCAGGACGCCCGCATGGCCATCCGCCAGACGTGGGGGAGAGAGAGGATGGTGAACGGAAAGCTGGTGAAAGCCCTCTTCCTCCTGGGGACCACGGCCAGCATGGCCGACACGAGGGCGGTGGCCGAGGAGAGCCGGCGCCACCGGGACATGATCCAGAAGGACTTCGTGACGCCTACTTACAACCTGACACTGAAGACCATGATGGGCATGGAATGGTGCATCACTTCTGTCCCCAGCCACGTTCGTGGAGTGAAGACAGACTCAGATGTTCATAACGTCACTACCTGCCGAGCTGCTCCTGAAGAAAAACAGGACCAGCAGGTTTTTCACCGGTCACTTGAAACTGCACGACTTTCCGATCAGGAACAGTGTCAGTAAATGGTTTGTCAATAAATACGAATATCTGTGGGACAAGTACCCACCGTTTTGCTCGGGCACTGCCTACGTCTTTTCCGGTGGATGTGGCGACGCGAGTGTTTCAACGTCTCAAAGAGCGTCCGTACATCAAGCTGAGAGACGTGTTCGTGGGGCTCTGCTGAAGAAGCTGCACATCCGGCTGGAGGAGCTGCACTCGGAGCGCACCTTCTTCTCCGGGAGGGCCTGCGCTTCTCCACCTGCCGCTTCAGGAAGGTCGTGGCCTGCCACTTCGTCAAGCCTCAGGATCTTCTCAACTATTGGCAGGCCGTGGAAAGTTCCCGGGAGGAGGACTGTCCGGCTGCGTGAGGGAGGGGCTTAGTGGCACCTCCCAACAGGGTCAGATGACTGCAGTGATGGTGTCTGAAAGGTTTTGATGTCTTGCTGGGAGCTGGTTGGGGGTATGAGGGCGCTGTCCTCTGAATCTACACCCAGACGCAAGCTCACAGGAAGCCACTGGTTAGTTCTTGCTTGGTGCCATCTTTGAGTCAACCAACAGGCTGTACCAGGTGTTTGATTTACCCCTGCAGTTTCGCATTTCAGGGGTCAGTAGCCACATGGCGTGGTGGGTGTGATTGTTCCCACTTTACAGATAAGGAAACCAGCAGCCAAGAAAGGTAAGAGACTTGACCCAAGCTCAGAGCAGGGATGGAAATGGAAGCTCGCCCAGAATGCAATGGGCAGCCCCCAGCCTGGGCCATCCCCTGTGCCGCCTGTCTTGGCAGAGGCGCCGTGTGACACAGGCTCCGAGAAGCCTTGCGGCTGGCATCCTTCCAGTACCTATACCGGAGTCCCCTCATGCCAGCTCCCAATCCCTGTGCGTTTTAGTGCAAAGACTGGGTGGAGCAAACGCACCGGGTTCCTGCCTGCGCAGGGTCGGGCGTGGCCGGGCCCTGCGGCATTGGCAGCTCTGCACCCAGCATGCGCGGAAGCACAGCCCGGGGCAGAGGACGTGCCGCCATGGCCGCAGCTCAGTCACTGAGCAATGCCCAGCTCCGGACAGAAATCAGTCGTTATAAATTTATGAATCAGGCTCAGAAACCACTGCAGTCTGGGCCCGCACTGTCAGACAGATCTATGCATGACTCCTCTCCCAGTGAGCAGGACGTCTCTTCCGAGCCATCTGTCACTCGGGTCCCGAAGCTCCAGAAGGCTTTTGTCTGCAATCCATGGAGACCTTTCGGTCTCTCACTTCAAATCAAAGGGCACACAGTCCAGGTGGGATTCTGGGTGCTTCTCGGGGAATTCAGTTGGATCTTAGCCAAAATGATCTTAAAGACCGCGTGGACACAAAGCCCCAAGTGGGCTCAGGTCGGCGAGGTGTCCCTGTGTCCGCTTCCCAAGCCTGACCCAAGCTCATCCACATTGAATTTCTCATTTGGTCAAGGAACAACAGAGCCATGTGCATTGCCATTTACCTTTCAGTTTTCTTCCCACCCCACACCCTGCCTCCCCGCCAAGGGTAGCGCGAGCCCATTTTGCAGGGTTGTGTGAAAACAAGGCACTTCTTTGTAAGGTGTCAGCCTGTTTAGCCACACCACATGACCTGGAAAGCACCCTTAATCATAGAAATGATTGTTTTTTATTGTTTACTGTATCAGACTTTACTGAGTACTCAGAGAAAAGGGCCCAGGTGGCTGCCTCACTTATAAATGTTGGACTCAGTGCCCACCTGAACTCAGGAAAAGCTATTTGCTGCAGACGGTTGTGACGATGCTGACCTGTGGAAGCAGGTCTGGCATCCTACTTTGCACAGCACTGTAACTGTGTTATATTGACGATGTCCCCATTTATCCCTGGCTGGAACTTTCTTGCTCTTCAGTCTCATATATTCCACTGCATACTTGATTTCACCTAATGAGCAAATCCAGCGCTGCACTTCTGATCACCCTCCGCCGTCTGTCCCAACTGCAGCCTCCCCAGCTGGGTCACGGCCGCTCCACCCCTCCTGCGGCGAAAGTGGAAGACCCTGGAGCCCGCCCGACTCCTCTTGCTCAGCTGCGGCATCAGGAAAGGCTGCCAGCCCGACATTCAGGTCATGTTCAGAAGCCGACCACTTGCTGCCCCTCCACCGCGGCCCTCTGTGCAAGCCCGTCGCCTCCCCATGTCCCTGCGGTAGTCTCCGGCCTGGTCTCAGCTTCCACCGTGGCGTCCCCTTGCTCTGCTCCCAACGGCATCCAGAGTGGTCCTTTGAAAGTCTCACTTCTCTGCTCAAAACCTTCCCGTGGCTCTCCTGTGTCTGAGCAAAAGCCACATGCTCAATTCTGTCGTCTGCCTGTCACTCCCTCATCTCATCCCATCCCGGCTCCCCTGGCTCCCTTGGGCCTCCCTGCTGCTCCTGGCACATCCACCTCGGGGCCTTTGCACCCCTGCTCCTCCGCCAGGAACGCCCTTCCCCCAGACGGCCTCGTGGTTCCCTCCTCCGCCTCCTTCAAGTCACGGGCCCAGTGTCCCCTTCGGAGAAGGCTTGCCCCGACCCCCTTATGTGAAATCGCATCTCGGTCCACTCCCCTGTCCCGACCTGGTATTTTTTCCATTGCGCTACAGTTTCTAATAAAGCATATAGTATCTAATTATTACAACATATCTATTCTTTAGTTTATGTGTCCCCCGACTGCAACATAAGCCTTGTGTGGGCGCGGGTTTTCCTCTGGTCTTCTCTCAGCACGTGGTAGACACTCTGGGAGTGTTTGTTGCGCGGAACTGAATGGGCCTTTAGGGAAGGTGAGTTTAGAGAGAAAAAGGTGAATCTGGACTGAAAAGAGGAAGGATTTCTAAAGCCCAGCCGACACTGTGTTTCCAAATGGATCAGCCGCTGGGAAAATGGGTGCGTTCCTATTGACTCTGAGGCCCCCAAACCGCGGAGGGCTCCACAGAGGCGCTCTGCAGGCCTCCGCCCGCCCCTTCCAAAGTGGAAAACCTCCTGCGGGCAGGGGGGGACGGATTGCACAGCAACGCTGTCCCAGCCTGCACTGCCCAGCTGTCTCATCTACACCCTCACGCCTGTCTTTTCTTATGAGTGTAGACATCTACCTCTTTCACTCGACTGTGATGCTGACAGGGAAGCTGGGGCGCGGCTGTGCGCTGCCTCCTCGCCACTCCTGGCGCCCGATGGTTTTTCCTTTCATTCCCCCCTTTGGATTCCCTTATCAGTTTACACAGCTGCATCAACCTCTCTATGAATCTAATAACTGCATTTGGCAAGCAGGGTCCCATGGTTACCATCCGAAGCATCTTTTAGCTCTTTGACTGTGGTAGTTACAATTCCTGATTGGTTTACATAGTAACAGCATTCTTCCCCCAGAGAGCCCCAACCAGGAACAACACAGAGGTACCCCATGCAGACCCATAAAAGGATAACCAAGAAGCAAGTTAGTCCAGTCTCTTGGGGCGAAGGCCCCAAGTCAATTCCCAAGAAAACTGTCAGTATTCCTGTAACAGTCCAGGCCAGTGGTCCCATTCAGTCCTTGGCTTCCAGGCAGATTCAGGGGCAATCCGCATACATTGGCCCTTTTTTCTTGGGCATACCTGAGAGCTTGGATGAGCACTCATAACTCTGTCCTCTGGGCTGACCATCCCTGAGACAGAGGGGCTGACGTGATGACTTTGCTCCCTGTGGTGACTGCGTAGCCAGCCAACCGTTTGCCATCCTGGATGTAGCTGCTGCTGTCTGTGTAGAGTTCCAGGTCAGGCGCCAGCAATGGACCATCCCTCAAGTCTGGCCGGCTTGCACAGACCTCCTCCATGGCCTCAGCACAGTCATGTTCCGGGGGCCCTGGCCTGGTAGGAAGGAAAGTGGCAAGGTTCAAGGTCTGCACAGTCTCGATAGTGACTTGTGGGTCCCCACACAGCAGTCCTTGGCACTGCGCTAGCTGACTGCTAGAAAGCCATCGGTGCCCCGATGTGTTCACCAAAGCCACCACTGCATGCGGGACCTGCACACGGACACTCTGACCAAGCACAAGCCAGTAAGGCGGCCATCCCAACACTACCGAGTCCAGTCGCTTGGACAGACAGGCCACTGGCCTCTGCCAGGGGCCCACAGTCTGCGCCAGTACCCCGATAGGTACCTGCCTTTTCTCACCTCTGAGGGCAGCCTGTTCAGCCTCCTCAAGCTGGGCCTGGAGCTCCTGCACCATCTGTTCTAGTGTCTTCTTTATCCGTTCCAGATGTGCACTTATGTCCTGCTCCTTCTTCAGCTCCTCAGCCATCATGGTGGCATTGATGATGGCCTTTTTGGCCTTCTCCTCTGCCTCTGCCTCTCTTGGGCTGCCTCCTTCACCTCCCCACTCAGCTGGGCCAAATCTGCCTTGAGCTGCTTCTTCTGGTTCAGGAAGCCTGTGTTCTACAAATGCAGGAGATTGAGGTGCTCTGTGGCCTCCAACAGCTCATGCTCAGCCAGCTGCCGGCTGTGCTTGCCCTGCCCCAGGACAGCCTGTAGCTCCTCCAGCTCAGAAGCCTGCAGTGCAGCCCGGCGCTCCAGGGCCTGCGCCTACTCTTGGAGTTCAGCTGCCAGCCGCTGCTCCTCATCCCGCCCTGCCTGCTCCTCCTTCAGCAGCCGTGTGGCCGCCTGGGCCTCCGTGACCTAATGAGTAGCATGGCCCAGCTGCAGCTCCAGATCACTGAGATCACCCTCCATCTTCTCCTTGAACTTCAGTGCTTTGTTTCGGGCCTGGGTCTCAGCATGCAGGGAGGCCTTCAGGGACTCCACTCCCCGCTGGTGGTTGTGCCTCAGGTTAGTGCACTCCTTATCTTTCTCCGCCAGCTTCTTTTTGGCCTCCTCCAGCTCCTCGGTCCTCTGGTTGGTGTCTGCCTCATATTTGCTCAGCAAGTCCCGTCCCAAGAGAGGCACCTGACAGTCTGGCATATAGAGGACCTTGGGCCTTATCTGATGGCCCCCCATTTGACATACCCGGGTGGCAGAAGGGTTTGGCTACCCTAGTCTTGGTAGCTCCGACTATAAGCGGGGCCACTGGGGTTGTCACAACTGAGTGTTCTGCTCCAGTGTCCACCATGAATATCATTTGTTGGCCCTCTACTTTTATCTTGACCGTGGGTTCCTGAGGGCCAAGATTGAAGGAACCCAGTCAGTCCACCTTGGAGTAAATGCCAGAGAGCCCCACTAGCTCTTGGGCTTCTGGTTTCTGTTGGATATTCCCGAACAGGGCCCTCCCTCCCGACAGGTGACTTCTCTTGTGGGGGCATTCATTCTTTCAGTGGCCAAACCCCTTGCAACTGGCACACTGGTCTCTTGCCAGGGGTGCCCGTCCTCTGGTTCCCCCCTTTTGTAGGGATTTGGGCTGCTTGGACAGGTTGGGTCTACTGAGGTCAGCAGCCAGGAGGGCGGCCTTTTTTTTTTTAATTCTGTGATCTTTCTCCCTCTGAGCGGTCTGGTCCCGGTTGACGTATACCTTCTGGGCCACCTCCATTAACTGTGTGATGCTCATGCCTATGAATACTTCGAGTTTCTGCAGCTTCCACTGGATGTCGGAGGCCGATTGCCCAACAAATGCTGCATTCACCATTCTCTGGTTTTCGGTGGCCTCCAGGTCAATAGGTGTGTATATTCGGTATGCTTCACAAAGGTGCTTGTAGAAGTTGTAGGGCGACTCCTCTAGCTTCTGGGTAATTAGGGCAACCTTGTTCATGTTGATTGGCTTTTTGGCCCCTTCCTGCACTCCTTGGAGAAGAGCCACTAGGTATTGCTTGAGTGCTGCTTGTCCTTCTGGTGCGTTGAAATTCCACTGTGGGTTGGTCTCAGGCACTGCTTGTGATGCCCATTGTTCCAGAGTGCCCACCAGCGCTTGTTCCTGCAGCCACATCCGAGTTCCAATCATGATCCGACGCTGCTCTTCGGTACTAAAAAGGGTTAGTAGTTGTAGGCAATCTTCCCACGTGGGACGGTGAGTCTGGAAGACAGATTTCAGAGGGTCAACAAGGGCCTGTGGTTTCTCCCAGTAGAATGGGGTATGGTGTTTCCAATTCAATAGGTCGGTGGTGGAGAAAGGCTGATAGTACAGGGCAGGTTGCTCCAGCTGGATGATTCTGTCATCCCAAACCTGCGGCGGACCTCGTATTTCATGCAGAGGTACCTGGAAGGCCAGGATAAGAGGTAGGAGAGACCGCAACCTACGAACGAGTGGTAGAAATGCCGCTGGTGGAGAAACCGATGGTGGCGGGGCTTGGGGTGCAGTCGGGGGTGCCCGGGAGGGTGATGTGACTTGTGGGTTGTAAGGCAGAGGTAGGTTCTCTATCGGGTCTCCCTGATGTATCGGTTTGTCTTGAGATCGAGGACCCTCTGAGCCACTAGAACCATACTCTGTCCCTCATCAGCACAGAACCGAACCCTAAGGGGCATAGTTTGTGCGATCTCCAGCCATGTATCTATGTATGGGAATTGATCTGGGAAACCCGGAATCCCAGTCACCACTCGCCACACTGAATGTATAGTGGGCAGGTCAAGGGTTCCCTCCACAGCCTACTCCAAAGGTTGGCCATTCCAACTCACAGAGAGTTCTTAATCTGTTGGGTGTCATCGTGACCCCATATCCGCCCTTAAAGCCAGTTTTAAAATTTGTCAGCATACACCCCAGAACTGTTGGCTTGGATTAGAACCCTCCCATGTTTTCCCATTCTCTACACCACTGACAAAAACCTTGTCCCTGCCCAGACTCTGGTCCCTGCTCCAGCTCCTCCCCTCTCTCATGGGGAGCGAATCACCGTTATGAAGTTGCCACAGAAACCCAGGTTAGGACCTACTCAAGCCCCGTAGCTGTGGGGCTACAGACACAATGACCGCAAGCAGTCACTGTGTTCCTTCCACTCACATTCACTCACACATTCCCTCCCCAGGGGGATCCCTGTCCTTAAGAGGTGATCAGGCTCCTCTTCGTCCCACTGACGGGCCTACCCCTACGAGCCGATTGGGCTCCTCTTCCATTCCGCTGACGGGCCTACCCCTACAAGCTGATTGGGCTCCTCTTCTGTCTTGCTGACGGGCCTATCTCGGGCAGGTCCCGGGACCCTACCTTGTCTGACGTCCTAGCGTAGGTCTGCCGCTCCAGCTTGCTAAGCCTGGCACCCACCTGCTCAGCCTCCTGCTGTGGAGGCCAGCACCCGCCAGGAGGCCTGTCACAGCGTGGCCTGCGTCAGTGCCCCTGCTTCCCTTCCCTCAGCAAGGCCTTGGCAAGATTAGTGCCCTTGCCCAAGAGCTCTTGGTGCTGAAGGAGAGAGATGCTGCTCAGCTCAGCTCATCCGCCGTCCGCTGTCCTGGTGGCTTCAAGGGGCCAGCTCGGTCAGCTTTCCTGGTCAAGGAACCAAAATGTTCCGGCAAGTGGTACAGCTAGTGTTACAGCTGTTGACCAGGGAAATAACTTACCTGGGCACACAGAGAGAGTCGGAGAACAGCCTTTATTCCACCAGCACATTCAGCATACCACCAACTTCTGACAGCCCCCACTTCCTTGTTCTCCTTCAGTTTTTATACCCTTGGTAGGATTCAGAGAGTGTCCAATCACTAATAAGCTTTAACATCCAATCAGCAACAAGTTTTAACGTCCAATCAGCAACAAGCTTTAATGTCCAATCAGCAATAAGCTTTAACATCCAATCAGCAATAAGCTTTAACGTCCAATCAGCAACAAGTTTTAACGTCTAAGCTTTAACGTCCAATCAGCAACAAGCTTTAACATCCAATCAGCAACAAGCTTTAACATCCAATCAGCAACAAGCTTTAACATCCAATCAGCAGCGGGATTCAAAAAGTATCCAATCAAGATCCCGCAAGCAGCGCACGCAGCCCATGGAGACCACAGGCGCCACTGAGAAGGGACAGGAGGCCGTTGGAGGAGCCGCCACCCCTCGGCCTAAGCCGGTGAGGAGCGGCGAGGAGGCTGCTAGCGGCCGCGTCCTGGCGCCTGACGGGGTTTTCCCTGTCAAGACTCTTCAGTTGTAGGCGTTGACGGATGGTTCATTCCATTCCGCTAAGGAGAAGGGCGTGTTGCCATAGCGACACCTCATCACAGCCCGCCGGTGGTGGCGTTCTCCACAACTCCTGCCCCGGAGCCGCAGCCTCCGTGGTCGGCGTCGGGAACGCCCCCGAGACAGCCACCTTGCCGCCCGCGGGTCGCGGGGAAAACCGGCCGTGGCAAAACCAACAGCGCCGTGTCCCCCTGGAGGCCAGGGCTCTTCGGGCTCCTCTGCAGCCGGGCAGTGAGCGGCCACAGGGGTGCTCTCCCAAACCGCCCTCTCGCGGGCTGCTTCAGGGAATGGCGCTTGTTCCTCCACGTGTTCGTGGTTAGCCAGTCCCCGAGCAGCCGCAGTCTGTCACCAACTTCGCCACTTGCGTTTCTTCCCTCTGCAGACCAGGCCCGGTGCTCGAACAGCCGAACAGCCGGAGGTTCCTCATCTGACCCCTGGGAGCGTCCTCCTGTCAGGCCGGCCGCACGGGGACCGGGACCGCAGCGAGCCACGGAGAAGCTGCAGCAGGCTGCGGTTGAGAGCCGCGCCCATGCGCGTTTCTCCTAGTCTGGCGGTTACGAGGCGTTTAGTTTGCTTACATTTAATGTAATTACTGCTGTGTTTGGATTTCCCGTTATTCCGAGCTTTCTGCTTATACTGCCTATTCTGTTTTGTGTTGTCTTCCATCTCGCCTTATTTGGGGGTTGCTTAATTATTTTTAATTTCCTCTAACGGTTTGGAAATCATGAACTCTGATTCTATTATTTTAGTGGTCACCTTAGAACCACCCCCACCCCACACACACTTTTTTTAATCAAAATCAGGAGTTAACCCATACTTTCATCCTCCGCTTGGATCACACGAAGAGCCTAAACTGTTAATTACGCTTACTCTCCTCCTGACTTGTGTTCATGTGGTCATACATTAGAATTCTCTCATTTTAACCCCATTAGTTGTTGTTGTTATTATTGTTATTTTATAGTCAATGTTTCCTTATCTTTACCCACCTCAGGTTTTCCCTCTGGGATCATTTTCCTTGTGCCAGAAGCACCTCCTTTAAAATGGACATGGAATCTGAAGTTAGCAGTTGTTTTCTTTCAGTCCGTTGAAGGTCTGGTCACAACCGCCCTGTGGCTTCCACTGTCGCTGCTGCTGGCAAACCAGCTGCTCGTCTGGTTGTTGTTTCTTTGCTTCGAGATGTTTCTTCCTTGTCTGGTATTCTGCAGTTTCGCTGTAGACATGGATTTAGTTTTCATCCATCCTTTTTGGGAATTACTGAACTTTCTGGAATGCTGGCGATGTTTCTAAGGTTGCCTTCATTACTAGAACTTAGGAAGCCTGGCGGTGTTGGGGGTCTGTACTGATAATTCCAATACCTGAGGTCTTGCAGGTGTGTTTTCGTGGTCTGTTATTCTCAATCACGGTGCCCTGCGTTCTTGTGGGATTGACTCCCTTCTTTGACTGTGTGCTGTTTGTTACCCTTAGAGTTGTTTGTGGGATTCCCTGAGGCCTAGGATAGAAATGACTTCCTTTAGCCCTGAGGTCCACCACTTAGGCATGTGGGCAGACTACAGGTTTGGTGCACGTCAGCGTCAGAGCTCCAGGTTTCTTGGAATGCCCTGGTGTGGCAAATTTGGGCTTTAAGTCTGCCAAGCATTTGCCGACTTTGGGACATATTTTCTCCTTTTCTCTTTTCTTGTTTCCTTTTTCTGATTCACTAAGTACCAAAAGAAACATTCTTGATAGCTTCTTGTGGGTGAGAGGAAAGAAGCCGGCTCATCCTAACCCTAATTGTGTGGCTTCGGGAAGTCGAAGCGTATGTGCTGGGATCCTAACAAATTCACAAACTTTGGGGGGTAGCTGAGTATTAATTTCTGTCCTCCCCAATTCTGTGAATCTATCAAAACAGGCCTAATTTTGGAGTCTGGGTTGTCCAAAGGTAAAAGGGACCTAATGACTGGTTGATTTTTTTGGAGGTCTTCCTTGTCCTTAGGCCCAGGCTTGGTCACACATCCTGATCTTGTCAACGCTGCCGTGCATATAAGAAAATGAAAAAGAACATTTTTATATAGCATTTTGTATTATTTTCAGAGGATGATTGATCTCAACAGTTTATCCCAGCGTTGTTCAATAGTATGTTCTGTGGCGATGGAAATGGTTCTGTATCTGAGCTTTCCAGTATAGTAGTCCTGAAATGTGGATAACGCACCAGAGGGATTAAATGTTTAATTTTGCTTGATTTAAAATTTACATAGCCACACGTGGTTGGTGGCTACTGTATTGGATAGTGCAGCCCTAGGCCACTGACAGAGACCAGAGTGTCTTTATTCTTTACATTTCCTTTGGTTGAGGAGACACTCTTAGCCTCTAGCCCAGCTGCTAGAATCTTGGGGAAGCACAGTGTTTTGTTTTGTTTTTTTTTTTTGTATTTATCTACAGTTCCTATTTGTATATAAGGCTGTATTCCTTGTATAATAAAGAAAAATCATTTTGAATATCACCATGGTGAGTAGGTAGAATGCTACTGCTTAAGACAAGTCATGTCACAGGGAGGAGGGAGAAATACTTGATTTTTCCCTCCCTGATTTTTATGGCAACAAACTTTAATACAATAAACCGTATAGTTTGCTTGGCATCCCAAGGCCAATCTCAACCACATAAGCCCTGTACTTAGTCTTAGAGAAATATTTATCTAGAGGAATAAAAAAAATGAGCAAAGCAATAAAAACATATATGGAGCAGTTTTCCACCTGGCTGCTGAAGTTCTCTTCCAGCCACACCCAGCTGGATCCACACTGCTGGGAATCTCTCCCTCCTCTCTTTCCCCACAGCACATTGTTTATGCCCAGGACATGCAGAGCTGGAAGATAGAAGAGTTTTATGGACATAATTGCATTGGCCTCGTGATGTTTGCCTCTAAACTCCATGCTATGTGAGAAAAATAAATCTCTTTATTTGTTTAAGCTATTATTTGTCAAGTTTTCTGTTTTTAACCCCCAAAATTGCCTTATATCTCTATCTTCAGCCACGTGTCTGCGAGAACATTCTTAAATTAGCCTGCTTTGAGTTGATGCATTAAAAACAAATGCGCAGCCTTAACAACAATAAGATAATTAACAGGTATTTTATTTTCTGCAGTTCATTTCCCATTTGCCGCTTATAAATCTCTTTCACTCATTAAGAGAACTACTGGGAACTTGCCATCAGCTGAGCTCTGGAGATAGCACGGTGAGCTGGCCACACAGCATTGCTGGCGGTGGCGTGCTGGGAAATGCTTGGGGTGAGGGGATATGGCTCTCCTGTTTGCTGATTTTTGTGGGGTCGATACTCCCACCGTGGTTGATTTCAGGTTTCCAGCAAAGACTTCACAGAAGGCAAACTTGGGAAGAGTGGTGCTCAAATCAGTTCTTGGGTGTCCTGAAAGCTGGCTGCACCACACCCCTGGAACTCAGTGCACACCCAAAACAGGTCAGAGCCTTTGCTAAAATAATTTTCTTAAGGGTGAGCCTTAAAATACAATTTCTTCAGATAAAAGGCTTTTGATAACTACAGGCACCTGCAGGAGGAGTATAGAGGAGGCTGATGGGTTTGATCAAAGATCATAGCTTTCCTTGACTTTGAACTCCCCAAAAGTCTTGGCAAGAGCTCCACAACCTTCCCGTTTTCTTTCTTTTGTGTAACACACATTATGCAACAAGTCGTCCTCACTCTAATTTATTTTTTGGGAGAACTTAATAGACCTATTTTTTCTGAGAGTTATGTTTGATCATCAGCCCTAGGCTGATCTGATGTGTTCAGAATTAAGGTGAGTTATTTATACCTTTAATCATTTAACGTAACGTTCTCTTTTGCTGAACTTCATAAACAGAGCTCTCTTACCAGGGAGCACCTGAACCAAAAGAGGCCAGCCACTCCGTGCTGCCAAAGGCAGACTTTTCGCGATGCTGATGGGGCTGCCTCCCCTCTGGGGATCACCATGTGCCCCGATCCCACCCACTGGCTTGATACTTTAGGATCTTGCTTGCCCTGGCGGTTGAGCTGGCAAGACTCTGGTTATGCTCACATGAAGTTACAACTTCGCTAATTGGGCCTTGTTAACTAGGGATTTGTTACACCTCTATGTGTTTAGCTCATGTTTCTTGTTATACTCTAAAGGAAGTGTTTGCTAAGCAAATTAATAGTGTAATCAAGATCCCAGGGAGAATGCTTAAGTGATTAAGAGGCACAGGCAAATTACAATAGACTATTTAAACAAATCGACTATTTAAACAAATACTACAGGACCTTTCCCTAGAAACATCTTTTTAGGCAAATAATCTGTTATTTGGTACACCTAGAAATCATAAAAGCCTGCTATAGTTTGAATGTGTCCCCCAAATTCCACGTGCTGGGAAATTTAATTTCCAATGCAACATTGTTGGGAGATGGGTCCCGATAAGAGGTGATTAGGCCACCAGGGCTCTGTCCCCTGCACTGGACTCATGTTGTCACCAGAGTGGGTTAGTTATCCTGAAAGTGGGTTGTTATAAATGCAAGTTTGGTTTCTTCTTGCTCTCATCCTTTCTTGTCCTCTGCCTTCTGCCTTGGGATGACCCAGCACAAAGGCCCTTGCCAGGTGGACTTCCCGGCTTCCAGAAGCATTAGCCAAATAAACTTCTGTTCATTAAAAATTACCAAGTCTCGGGTATTCTGTCATAGCAGCAGAAAATGGACTAAGACAAAGCTATATTTATTTTCTTTCCCCCAAAGCTAGATTTCTTTTCGCATTATTCTCTAATCTACATTGATGTGACTTCACCCTAAATTGTGTGAATGAGAGCTTTGAATGTATTTCAAAGAACATTTACAGAAACACTAATTATATTTTGAGGATCATATTATTTTTTAGTCTTAAACAAGATGTATAAATCTTTTCATTTAATTCCAACTTAAATATGGATAACTTGCTAATCAATTCACTTCTGTTCAGTTTTCTCAAATTTAAAAATAACCTTTATCTACCCACATAGACTTAGACATAATGTTCATAGCAGTATTTATTAACAGCCCAAATTAGAAACAATTCGAATGCCCATTAACAGAAAAATGGATAAATAAATTTTGATTTATTTATACACTGGAACACTACTTAACAATAAAAAAGCAACAAGGTGATGATGGGTAAATCTCAAAACGCTGAGCAAAAGAAGGCAGACATAAAAACATTCATGCTATATGATCTCATTGATCAGCATTCTAGAAAAGTCTAACCTCACCCTACGGTGTCTGAGGGTAGAGAGTGGTGGCCATGGGTGGCCAGGGATTTAGGATATCTTTGCGGAGCTATTATACAGTTTGCCCTCAGGCTCCCAAAAGACTCATGTTCAAAATACAATTACCCTTTCCCAAATTCCCCCCAATTCTCAATTAACTACAGCATCTATGCAAATCCAAAATCTCATCAGCTCAAAAATCCCACACCTGTTCATCTGCATCATTGAAATCAGGTAAAACTCTTATATGATTCAGCTTGGGATAAAATTCTTCTACATCTGTGTATCTATGAAACTAGAAGACAAATTCTCTGCTTCCGAAATACTAAGGTTGGACTGGCATGGGATAATAGTTATAGATACTCACATTTGAAAGGGAAAAAATTAAAAGCAAAAAGGAGTCATTGGTCCCAAGTGATCTCGAAATTCAGCAGGACAAAATGCATTAGTTTCCAGGCCTAGAAATAAACCTTTGTGGCCGAGGCTGCCCTCTGAAGCCACAGTGCTAGATCTGGCCTCTAGGGGGGCCATCTGGTCTACTCCCAAGTCAGGCCACTCCCAAGGTAAGGTGACATACTGGCACATTTCGAGGATTAGGACATGAACATCCTCTGGGGGCCATTCTCCAGCCTGCTATAGGTGGTTAACAGGTGTGTACATTTGTTAAAATGCATTGAAATGTACACTTAAAACGGATACATTTTGTTGTATTTAAATTATAGCTCAATAAAGTTGATTGTTTTAAAGGCGGATTCTTCCTTGACATATGGTCACTAAGGATGTTTTCAGAGTTAGCTGGCTTAAATCCTACAAAGCAAATTGGCTAGGAACATGTGCAATCAGTTACTGCAATCATTATCATAATTTATAGTCATTGCAAGATCATCCCTCTCATTTCAAGCAAACTTCAGATAATAGCAAGAGGTTCATTAAATCTGACGAACATTTTTGGAAACATTCTTCCCGGTAGCTTCAGATGCAAAATGCATTAAAGCAAAGAGCATACTTGACCTCTTAGCACTTAAACCTGTCTGAGGAGCTCCACCTTGAGACTCTAACTTTGGCAGGGTAACCTAACAGGATCTCCTGCTTTGCTCAAGGTGGTGTCCTTCTCTTTTTTATTGTTCAGGTATATAGGATTCGTGTGGCTTTCTAAAGGGAAATGAAGCACTTTCTCAGGGAGCTGTGCTCTAGAGGCTAAGTAATCAGAGAGTGCATGATGTTGGGTTGAGTTCCGTATGGGGGTAGTCAACTCCAATGAGACACGTGTTGTATTCTATGTTTAGGGCATTCTGTGGCTAACCTGTACCAGAATCGCCTTGGTGTACAGAGGAATTCCCCTGGACTTGCTGAAATGCACCTCCCTTCTCCCCACCGAGACCTGCTAAACTGTAATTTCTGCAAACCAGAGGCTTAGATTCTACATTTCTTATGCTCCTCAGGTGATTCTATGCCCACCAAAGTCTGCGAATCGGCAGAAAAAAGAGATTGAGAAAAAGTAGCCGAGGAGGTAGAGGAACCAAGTGGCCACGGCATCCTAGAAACCAACAGAAGAGTCGCAGGAAGGAGAGTGTTGGTTTCCACCCTGTCATATGATATGACAAGATAGACTGTCACTGATAACCAGGAGGTCACCTGGTGCCTTAAGCACCCACTGCTTCAGCGGAATGGGAAGAGGATGGTACAGAAGGCAGATCCTCGGCAACCAAAGAGAAGGCTCTATTGACATTAAACTAGACAAACATTTGGATCCTGCAGTCTCACCTCTTGGTGGCTACCCTGATGTCACATGAAACGCTTGCCCGTGTGCACAGAGATGTGTGCAGTGATGTTCTACCGAAGCACTATTTGCAATGAAGAAAACAGGTTTTAAATGTCCATCAGATAGGAAAACTAAATAACCCAGATACTGTATATGCATGTGATGGAACTCTCGGCAGCGTTGAGACGAATGAGGTGGGAGGCCCTTGAGAGAAAAAAAGTAAGTTGCAATAAAGCTCTGTATTTTCAGAGGCATTCAAATTTAATGATCAGAGAGTGATTAAAGGAGCCGGCGTGTAGTGCAAGCGCCACAAATGTTAGCTGTTATTACACTGGGGGTGGTGGGCAAAAGAGACTTCAGTGTTACGTAGAGTGCCTGGATTTTAAACCATGAGACTGCGTTTTCAATGTGCTACAAGTAAAATTAATAATAATAATAATAATGAAAACAGAGAAAGGAGCAGAGTTATCACAGAAATGCAGATGACTCTGTCAAGAAGTTTCAGGATGAATAGAAGAGACTGACAGCGCTTCACGCTTTTTCACGAGTCCGTGTTGTGTGTTGAATGAAGTTCTGAGCTCCAGCCAGTCGAGGAACCTCAACCCTTAAAACCCATCGCTCAAATGTTCCTCTCAAAGGATAGTGCAAATGACCCAGAAAGACAGAAAAGAGGAGCAGAAGTTTACTTTAAAATCACAGATGGATGGATGACGTAGATGGCTTAAGAGAAACTTATCAAGCATAACTAGGAAGCAATCGAAGGTAGGGTGTTGATTACTTTCCTAAGTATTCAGCTAGCGGGAAACTGGGAAAAAAAATGCATGATTCGCTCACAGTTCCCGGGTTCAGGATACACTGGCAAGTGTGAAAACTTTGGTGGGCACTAAATTAATTGTGGCTAGCCACGCTTTTGTGACTTTCGGAGATAAAACTAAATCTCTCCCTCACATTCGACAGAATAATGGCAAAGGATACGGGCAGCAGGTGGGCTTTGTAGCTAAGGTTGACATTTACGTCACTTCAAGATGAGCCCAATGTCACCGTGAGCACGTTTACAACTGTGGTGTATTCACTCCTGGGTTTGAATGTAAAAAAGGTCCACTTCCCATCAGGTGTCTGTGGCCAGACAGAGGTGCAGGGTCTTAAGAAGGCAATCTAAGTCTTGAGATAGCCATAGAGAGGTCATATCAATGCAAATAAACCACACCAACAAAATGCAATTATTATTAAGTGCATTTTATCACAGTGAGCATTTTCGGCCTCTGAATGTTGTGAGCACCTGCCTTGGCCCGGAAGCTCAGGATGTGACAATGGTTCCCCGGTGGCTGGCTGACTTCCTCCATTGTCCCTTCCCTCTGTGCAACCTACAAGGAGGAAGTCACTTTACCAACCAGGAATCTAAAACTAGGAAGTTAAAAAGTGTGGCCCAAATCTCACAGCTGGTAAACCACCAGGGCTCAGACCAGCTTATAAAACTAGTTTCTCCACCAGCCCTTGGGAAGCCACAGTGCCAACCGTCAGAAACCAGAGGGAATGGAGACACCTCAAGGTGCCACTGGCCCAGAAGCAGACAGGCATCGTGTGTCTCAGCAGGTGCCAGCCCCAGCGGCTGACACCTGAGCACCGGGTTCTCCCTGTCACACCAAGATGCTACCTAAGACCGATGGCAATCGGATGCCACCTTGAGAACGAGGGGGGTGGCAGTTAACCCCTGGTTGACCGAGTTTACCCAGAGATAACTGAGTTGACCTTAAAATATTAAATATTCTTTTAGGAGGAGGTGGGGGAGAGCGTGAGATAGAAATTAAATCCAGGCATCGTAAACACATAAAAATAAGAGCTGTTCCCTCTGTTGCCCACCAGAGTGCTGTGGACTGAGACACACTCCCAGGGCTGCAGCTCTGTGCCAGGTACCGTGCCGAGTCATTCGCTGTGGTTAGACCGTTGAATAATTACTGCTGAATGGATGGATCATAGATGGCTATTATTCCGTTATTTTGGATGAGAAGCTCAGTAAAAATCAAGTAACTCCCTTAAGATTTCACAATTAGTAAATGGGCTCACCGGTGTTTCTAAGATGCATTTCCCTTCTGAATTTCGAACAACTGAAAAGCAGGAGCAGAGTCAGACAGACACCACACTATTAGATTTATCCCCTGGGCAACAGGGTTCCGAGAGAACGTGTGTCTTGGGTCTGAGCATTAACCTTCCCGCTCCTCCATCCAGCCCCATGTCCACGTCCAGACTTAGCCCTTGCCCTGGGTCAGGACCCGGGACACAGGCTCGGAGGGGCAGTGTGCTGCAGGCGGTGACCGCGGCCGGGCTCCCAGGAAGAAGCGAGGGAGCAGGGCCTGGCAGGAGGAGAACGTGGGCTGTGACGGAGATGCAGTCGGGGCTGCGGCTGAGCCCGGGTCAACTCTGAAGCTTGGACAGCATTTCCGAGACGCCTCGAATTCAAGTGAAGGGAGCCAGGCCTGTGTATCCCAGCACCAACGAGTCACTGGATGCAGGCTACCCCGGGGAGGACGTGCAACCTTGGGTGCCGTAGCTCCCTCTGGCTGAGGACAAACCTGAGAAGGAGTCCAGCTGTGAGCCATCAGCAGGAAACACTCCCAGCCTCTGAGAGGATGAGAGCCCTGAACTGGGCGTGGGGGAGTCGGCCACACACCACTGCATCGCCGCAGTCCACCTGCTGCACCGGTGGCTGGCTGACACAGTGAGCTCGCCCCACTGGGGAGGAGTGCTCCCGTCGGGGAGGAGTGCTCCCGGGCGCCAGCTGGCCCTGTTGCCTGGAGAAACCTACAAAAGGTTATTGGGACAAACTACTGACCCTATGCTGCTGTGGTCTTGGGACAAGACTGTCACACCTGACCTCCCTCCTCTACTGCCCAGTCTTAGCTGTCTTCGTCCTCAGCCAGCACTGCTAGGTCTAGACCGCTGTGGCCCAGGGTGGTGGGTGACCCGGATTCCCACCCTGGGGTGCTATCTGCAGCCCACGCTGCTGTACTTCTCCGTTTGCTGCCAACGTCGGGCCAGGGAGGACTAATAGACACCCCAGTGGATCACGTGGGTGCCAGAACTATGCTCCCTTCCTTCCATGTGTAACGGCAGTCTCTCTTTTTTTTACAATTAGGGCCAAATTAGTCCTGCCAGAATGGTGACACCGTTTCCTGCTGCTGGTCATGTGGCACGAGGAGCCCGAAGTTGAGGGAGGCAGTCATAGCTCGACGCTCAGTGAGACTGTCACTGTCTCCTTTAGCGGGAGGAGGCCCCTCTGGGGAGCAGGACCTCCCCCTGCAGAGTCTGGCATTGCGAGGAGGGGAGGCACAGTTCTCCGAATGTCACTGGGAGCAGTGACAAGTAGGGCTGCCGTTCCGTCCCTCCACTGACGGCCACACTCTCATGCCCACTGTGGGCACAGTGCCGGGTCTTGGTCATGGAGTTAGAGGCAACATTGCATCTTGGAGCGTAGCACCCAGACTTGCAGGTGTCATCGCCCATCTGACGCTTTACCTGTAGCTTCCAAGGGTTGTTTGACTGCCGCTGGGTCAGAAGCTGCAGGGCAGTGCCGGGTGTGGTAGGACCCGCCAACCCATGGTCGTGTGCCCACTGTCAAACATCCTTTGCTGTAAACCGGGTCCTGGGATCCCATGTAGGATCTATGTTGGTAGACCAGACATTTTTTCAGCCCTCAGATAAGCAAAGGCAAAATGACACTAGAATATGGGTTAACTGCAGCCTCATTCTGGAACTTCCAGGGCGGCTGCTTGGCCTCTGGGGGATTGACTGTGCCACGTTAGGGGTCCGGGGCTGGTGTCCGCTGCCTGCAGGCTGGGTGGCCCGCGGCAGTAGCAGCCAGATTAGCCTCGGCGAGTTGGGGACCGTGCTGACAGGTCTGTGCGTAGCCTCCTCCCCTGTCACCACACGGCTCTGATCACGCACCTCATGCCAGGACCGGCGTGGGCGACGCATGAAGAAGGCCGAGCCACTCTGCCTGCTTGGTGCTCTGATGTCCCTTCCACGGTGAATGCTCTCTGGAGGATGCTAACATAGAGCACAGAGACCCTTACACCGAATGCCCTCTCCCATGAGGGCCACCCACAGATCTCCTTGTCCCCGATCTTTGAATCTTTCTTCTAAGCCACCGAACAACCAGCCAGGCCACTCACTACTGCCAGTGAATCTAAATACATTCCAAGCTCGGGCCACTTTTCTTTCTGCTCCAGGTGATGACAGGGACATGGCTCAAAGCTCTTCCCGTTGGGAGGAATCCCCGCAGCCCTGAGTACTCAGAGCTGTAGTGCAGCAGTGGTCCAGTTTCAGTCCAGGTCCCGCGTAGCGAGCTGACCCGTCTGCAAACCAGACTTAGTTAGCCTTTTCTCTCCCCGCTCAGCAGGAAATAAGGAATAAGCCCCCTTTCCTGCCACCGTGTGTGACAGGTGTGAACGGAAGGAAAGACACTGGTTTCGCAGCGGTGGATGGCCTGGGCGTCTGGGCCGCCTGCCTGTGCCACTTACGTGTGCCTCCTTGCCCTGCCGGTGCCTCACCCACCTGTGCCACCTCCGTCCCAGGCATCACTTGCAGGTTGCTGGCCTGGCCTTATAAGTTAGCGGGTGCTGACCTGAGCTGGCCGTGATGGGCCGTGGTGGCTGCGTGCCCGGGGTCAGGACAAAAGCTGCTCTTTAAATAGTGCACGTTTCCCTGCTGCAGATGGGCTGAGCTCGCTCTGGACCGAAGGGTTTGCATTGTGGTCCTGCTGGGCCTCATCTTAAATGGCACATGGCGTCCTGTCCCACTAGGGTCTTCCAGGCTGCGTGAGCCAAGCATCGGGGACACTTGCTCCACAGCCTGGACCTGCTGCCGTGCCCCCTCCTTCTCCAGGTCTCGCTCAGTGCCGGCGCCCCCCGAGTCTCTTGGTGGCTGCGTCTGCACGATATTCCCAGCACGGAACATGCCGCTTCCAGAGCCCCAGACCACCGGAACCTTAGAAACTCACCGCTGTCCTGGGTCCTGATTTCACAGGGGCTCTCTCCCACCTGCCCTCTGGGGCAGAGACGGGGCCACACACTCGCCGCCTTTTGTTCATTCAGTCAGCTTAGCATGCCATCCACTTAGCTGAGCAGCGAGATGTTCCGCCGAGTGTCCCGACAGTCGGGTCCTGGAGCCTGTGCTATGACGGAGGGCAAGAGAGTGAATAGCCCCGAGAGAGAGCTGGAAATAAACACCACTGTCCGTCCCTGGTGGGTGCGGGCGGCTTCCAGTCCTCCCTCCGGACAAGCATGGAAATGGCGCGTTCATCAAACCCTTGGCTGCGAGCCACGTCTGCGCTCCCTGGCTGGGGACAGGTGCCACGTGGCACACCTGCTGCATCTGGAGCTGCCACTCGGGGGGGCTGCAGCGGTTCACTCGCA